TCAGCAGGTGCACCAGGCACAGGTCAGAGCATAAAGCAGCTGCCCAAGGGAAGCAGTGGCAGTGTGTAAGAAAAGTCTGGACACAACAGGACTGAGAAGAGCCAGCAGCTGTGAAGAGTTTAGATACAAAAGCCGACCAGAACACACTGGAAAGAGAAAGAGGACAGTGATATAAATGAAATATGGAAGCAGCTCTGGAAAGGTTGGGACTGCATAGGTGAAGGAAGAGCAGGATATAGCTGCCAGGTATCGGGAAACAAATGCTGAAAAGCACAAAAGCAAGAATAAAAATGAGGCTGTGGAAAGGAAGAGATGCATCTAGGGAATAAGGAGAAGGAATAAGCTGCATCCATGCAAAAGCAAAGATCAAGGACATGGGTAGGAGCAAGGCATGGCAAACATTCAGGAGGACTAAATGCAGGACAGTGGAGGCTGCAGAGAAACTGCTGTGGTAGCAAAGAGTGAGAGCTACCCAGGGAAGGAACAAGGCTAGAAAACGTTCAAATGCAAATATCCAGCTGTCTGTCTTTGGGAGCTGCCTAACAGAAGCCGAGTTCCCTCTCATCTTGCAGCTGCCTCCCACTGTTGTTTTTCAACCAGGGGAAATCCAATTTCACGCTGGACTGACGTACTGAAAAACTATCTGGGACAATCATTAGGCCAAAGACCTCAAGCTCCCAATCTCTCACCTCGGCCAATGCTACCGATGAGATGAGTGGAAACATTCTTGTTGTGAATCCGTCCAGATGTTTGGTGTAGAATAACATCTCGAATAGGGGCCTCACTAGGGAAAAAAGAGACAGAGATCAAGGAAAGGTGAGACAAAGAGAGACAAAGATCAAGGAAACCACAGCTGGGACTGTGCCAGAACAATCTTGAGAGCAGTGTATCCAAAGCTCTACAAATCTAGAGACTGATGGAGTTTGTGTATAGGTTAGGTTTTACCATTAGGTCTTTTACCATTAGGTTTAATGGTAAAAGACCAAGGAAAAGAATACATGCCACCCCAGGTATGAAGGAACTTGCTAATGTTTAAAAAAGAAAACCAGAACAATTTGATGAATCAGAAACCTGTAGAGAGTGCAAACCACCATCCCCCCCCAAAAAAAAACAACCCCAAACAAACCAAACTCAACAGAAAAAAGATAAAGGTTAGTAAAACCTGTATTCCAATCAAGGAAAAAAAGACAATTTTTATTATTGCTGTCATGTAAGCCTGGCTGCTTTTCACTCAGGAAGTGTCTGCCTGGGGTTGAATATGTTGGTCAGAGATCAAGGCCTGGGCTTGGCTTCTGGCTAGGAGAGTCCCATTCCACTAAGGTCTCTAAGACACCAAGGAGACTTGCCCAGCTCCCCTCCTGCTGCAGTTTTCTGGGTCTGCCTTAAAGTCTCAGAGAACACCACAGCAGCACTGGAATTCCCCACATGGGTCCCTCCAGCGCCAAGGACAATAACCTCACTGCTCATCCCAAGTGCTCTGGTTGTGATTTACAGCACTGGATGACAGGGGTCTCGTTAGGAAAACCTCCAATTACCTCACCTGGAAGAAACGAGTGAACAAACCCAGTCATCCTGTGCTTCAGACTAACTGGGCTTGCCCCAGCTTTTCAGTTGGCTACCCTTCTCAGCATTAGATAGGTCACCAGAGTGCCTACAACTCTTTCTCTGGAGATCTATGTCACTCATTTCCTTGCCTTAGCCCCCAGAACAATCCCCCTCAGTCTTGCCTCTCTCCTTGCCCAACCCAAGGAGAAGAGAGTGGGATACAAGGAAAGCAGTAGTACTCATCTTTGTGATAGAGACATGAAGAGTGGTCATGGAAGCTTGGATGCAGGCAAGCTTAAGTCATGAACTCCCAGCTGCACAGCAAGTCGTGGAAGCAAGGACAAATGACAGTACCCCCACACACCCAACCCCCCAAAAGGTTGTGTGGGGGTGCCCCCTCATGACAGGCATCTACAGCAGAATCTCCTCCTCCACCTCATGCAGCCATACTCTTCACCTGCTTGGTGCAGAGTTGTCTCTTCCCTCTGTCATGGCCTGCTGCTCAGAGTCCCAGGTGCACAGCAGAATGGCATAACCACAGCCTGGCTGAGACACCATCATCTCCGGTGAGCCATCAGGGCCTGGGTTCACAGACAGGCTGTCCACCTACACTGGCAGAGGACAGACAGAGATAGAGTCGAACTGAGAACTTTAAACACCTCAGAAGGATTCGCTGGGCTCCTTGTACCTAAACTTGAATACAGCAGATCTAGTAGAGCTGAGAAAGAGCTGAACAAGTTCAGCCAGAAGCAAAATGTCCAAGTTACAGTAACAGGTTACATTTCCCTACCAAAAGCCTTTTAAGAACACATTAGTGTTTTCCACTAATGCTCTCTAGTTGGGTGAGAGCAACTGACTGTTTCCCAGACCAACCCACCAGCTGCTCCATATGTACAGGACAACCACTGAGCAAATCTTCTTTCAAGCCATCAACACGACAATGGCTTTGTTCACAGGACTGAGATTTTGTGCTTCTTCCCTTGGGAGACCCACCTCTTGAAGACTGTATGTTATCATGGTCTGCTCTGAACAATCCCTTTTCCTTACCTGACCTTCCAGCAGCCACTTCTTCAACAGGAGCAGCTGCCCAGAGACATGGTCTGAATTCTCCGACAAGTCCTCCCAGCGGAAGGCACGTACCACTCTGTCAGTGTAACCCACCACCAACTCACACTTCCCATCTCCATCTGCAAGGAATACAAGGAGACAGATGGGCTCTCACAGGCTTTCATAGCCCTAAGACCCCCAATATCCAGAAGCCACCAGTATCCAGCAGGTAGCATCCCTGAGGATCCCAATCCTGTAATGAGTGAGAACTGCAGGAATTTTTCTGAAGTTCTTGCTTCTCTCCCTCATGACTTGGCTGTGGTTTGTTAGAGCACCTGTTTCAGCAAGATAGTAAATTCCTTCTGTGAGTCCCACACACTTTCTCTCTCCCCACCACCTCATACCCACAAAGTCTCTCACCCTACGTTCCCATACCACCTTCCCAGCTCACCAATGTCACTGATCAGCATGACCTTGGTGTTGGCAGGAATGTGCTGTTTGAACACCGGCTTCTGCTCTTCTGCTGTGGCCAACTCGTGGTGGCCTGAAGCATCTGGGTGTTTTGAAGCTGGAGAACTCAGGTCAAAAAGATGAAACCAGCCTTCTGCACTCACTGCCACCACAAGATTCTAAGAGGGAAGAGAAAAACCTTTTGATTTTTCCTCTCGTAGGAACTGCAGAAGCTGTCCCACAGCATGGTGAGGGAAGATTCTTAAGATATGAGGGTAGATCCAACATGATCAATGACTGCTACAGGGGGAATAGGAGAAGGTTTTTGGCCAGAATACAAACTACTTAGGTACTACAGTGTCCAAACTCCTTGTTCATCCTTGTCAGACCAGGATATCAAACTGATGTGCACATGCAATCCCCAAACAACGTGTGGCTTTCCCAATGCTCACTTCAGCTCTGCTCCCGCCTGGAGCACACACAGCTACAGTACTTTAGGCAGTTTGCCTAAACTGTGACTTTTGGACTCAGTAGTCCTGGTTTAACCCCCAGAAATAGCAATCCAGCAAAACATTAGACCCAGTGGAATTTGCTTGGGAGTCTAGACTACCCTGTGGCTCAGTCTTGTTTAGATGACCTTAAACGCACACAGCCGAGTGGCAGAAGGGCCATGGCCCACAGCGGGGACCAGCACAGAGCAGGGCAAAAGCCACTGAGGAAAAGGAGCAACCCTCAAACAACCAAAGACTTGACGTGCTCACATAGAGGGACATACAAACCACTAGTGCTTTCTGAAGACAGGATGAATTTCCTTGCTCATTAAAACCTACAGATGGCTCACAGACAGACAAGAGCTAGATGCAAAGAGAAGAACAGTTTTTAAACACTGGTGCTAAAACTCTATGAGCAAGGGCAGATCCTGGAGAGAAAACACCTGCAACCTGTCCTCCTCCACACTCAGGATATGACTTGACCCTATAATCTCCCACATGCCCTACAGACACAGCTGGGAAGACTTGGGCTGCTCTCACCTTTCCTTTATTGCATACGTCTCCCACACCAACACACGTGAGCTGCAAGAGAAAAGAAGGCCGTCCATGAGAGAATGCAACCCACACCAGCACGGCACGGTAAGCCTCTGCCCTACCCCCTCCTCTCTCCCAAACCACCTCTTGAACTCTAAACAGCCTTTTCAAGGACAAAGACAGCAGAGTTTCTGAGTTTCAGAGACAGAAACACATCTGCCACACAACTGCCCAGAGCCCTGGGGCAAAACCCACAGTGCACAGGAGCAGGGTGGTCAAGGTGGGACAGAAGCCCGGTTCCTGTGTTCGTTCAGTACTCTGCTCCTCACTGCTCACCCGTGGAGATGACTGTGGGCAAAAGCAGAGTCTTGGATAACTCATTAAAGGCATCAGAACCAGTCCTGGCTGCCATTCTCCTCTGGCCTATATATGAAAGAGAGGAAATGGCCTCAGGTTGCACCAGGGGAGGTTTAGACTGGATCTGAGGAAAAACTTCTTCATCAAAAGGGCAGTCAAGCATTGGAACAGGCTGCCCAGGGAGGTGGCGGAGTCACCTTCTCTGGTGGGATTTAACAGACAAGCAGGGACATGGTTTAGAGGTGGAATTGGCAGTGTTGGGTTTATGGTTGGACTCGGTGATCTTAAAGGTCTTTTCCAACCACTAAGATTCTCTTATTCTGTGATTCCTAGGCAGTGGTCAAGGACAGCTGGCTACACCTACACCAACAGGCCAAATAATTTAAAAATTTTGTCAAGAACTGACCATTCCTTGGCAAGATCGCACAGCCCAGGGTTTGCTGTCATCGTTCTTGTAAACATAGAGCTTCCCGTTGGTGTCTCCCACCACAAGCTCATTCAACTGTACAAGAGAATTGGGTTAGTAAGAAGAAATTCACAATTACAATAAGAGTATTCCCACACAGCAATAATTACAGAATTCATATCTAAAAATCACTCTGTGGGAAGAAGCAGCAAAGCAAAACAGGAGTTAAAGAGTCAAATTCAACTCAAAAGAGAAGGTTGGGGAAAAAAAAGCCCAAATGTTACTCTCACAGATAAAAGAGCTGGAGAGTGGCTCCTTACAGCAACATCACATTATCCACCTCTCCTCTAGCCATTGTTTCAGAGCTGTGTCACAGACGGGTTTCACACCCTGCTCTGCTAACCATCATCGCGAGCTGGGCAATCACCAACCGTGTGAATTTT